GATTGCTAGTATCACTCAGCCCTCTGTGAACAGTAAACAGCCATCAGGTGCTAATGATCCATTGTTAGGCTGATGGTCCTTCTTGAGCATGTGATCAGCTGGTTTTGGTTGTCAGAAGCAAACTGGTTGATCCACTCTGAGACGGTGCTATTTAAGAGACTGAGCTGAATACAGCACCTCAGACTGAGGAAGTCCTCAGGATGAGACGAAACGTTTCTACTTTTTAAAAAAAAATTTAGTTTGTTTTGTTTTTTGAATGTCCAGAGGACCAGATTGAGCTTTTTAGATGACTGTAGTAAGATGTTTTAAAGATGACTGTTGCTGCAGTGATTCAATAAAACCTGAGGGGCGTCTCAACAAGCGAGCTTACGTTCTGCCCTTTGCTGTGACGGTGGCCCTGGCGCAGTCACCAATGGGTTTGTAGTTCTTCGACCACACAAACTTAGACGTCTCACAGATCTCACAGGCCTCCAAAGACAGAAAAACGTCTCCAGTCTCCTCGTCCACACCGGCCACTATCTCCTTAGTGCCTGGAAAAACAAGGCAACACCCAAATAAAACAAAAACTAAGTGACAACATGACTCCCCTTCAGTCTATTTTCTTATAAACACATTTTCTTATTTTAAATAGGGTTCTTTTTTTGCAGAGTATATAAGGAGTGTCTTTAGTGATGAAATAAATAAATCTAGATTTTTTTTTTGCTAGCAACATAAAAACTATGTGTTTCTACTTTGCAATATTAAGCCTTATTTTTTCTATTACCAACCAAAATGTGTTTTCCCCAACAATGAGGTAAATAAAAAAAGGTGAAAAAGACTGAGGAATTATTTAATATGATCAATGCCTAATAGTTACGTTTGTTCAAGTGATGTGAAAGGTGAATTTGAAAAGACAAAACATCTTGACTTGGAGTTTCAACCTCTTTGAATATAAAAAAAGCTAAATCTCATTTTAGCTTCTGGTTGTGACTTTACTGAAGTAATTTCATGTAACAGTCTGGTTAATGGTAATGCAACGTGTGTATTTCTAGAACTTTGAGTTGTGTAAGTATTGTGCATCAGTCCTGATGTTGCTCAATAATCCAGGTAGATAAATCTAACAAGGTAGAGTCAGGTCCTCTGGATGGATTCTTTGCTGAAATGGTTCATCTTTTGTCCAAAAGACTGAAGAAGTCTTCGATAGGAGATTATTGTGTATCAGGGCTTCATCTAAAAATGTCATTCGTTATCAAAACCTGGTGGAAATCTCAGTTCAATGGTCAATCCTATGTATTGTATAACATCCATTTACTACAAAACTGTTTATTAATAGGGATTTTTTTAAATGGTAGAAGGTGGACATGAATGTAAAACTGAATGGAAGTGAAACTGGCACGATGGTGTAAAGTAATGTTACCTGGAAGAGCTTTGGCACAGACTGGCTCAGACAGCTGAGAAGATTTCCCAACCCCGTTTGCATTGACAGCACAAACTCTGAAGACATAACTTTTACCTTCCTCCAGTCCAGTCACCTGCAGCAACCCATGGAAATATGAGGCAAGATGTGCAAGTGAAACATGGGTGAGAGCACATTCTAAAGGTGCTGGAATACAATGAATGATTATTGCAGTAGTCTTACCTGCAGGTATCGATGGCTCACAGCTTCCTTATTCAGAGTGACAAACTCAGATGAGCCTTTATCAGCCATGTCCACAAAGTATCCGGTGACAGCACTCGCTCCAGCATAAACCGGAGCTTCCCACAGAATGACCAGAGAGTCTCCTCTGACCTCACTAAAGCTCAGATCATAGGCTGGACCTGAACAACAAACACAAAACATCTTGAGGAACAAACAGTCATGGTTCTTAAAGTTTCATACTCGGTGGAATTCTTGCTTATGGAGTTTTATGGTATCAAGGAAGTCGGCAGCAGCAAATTTGGACCCGATCACGCTGCTTGGCTTTATGATGGCTTGGTTCGTGTCTCGAGTACCCAGACTCAAATGCTTTGGACTGAATGGATCAGATCTTGGAGATTTTACTCAGTCACGTTCCATCAGTGTGGCCATGTTATTTGGACATTTCAGAACCGAGTCGACCAACACAGACTCAAGGTAGATGTCATTAAGTTCTGCCTGTCCCCAAAACAACTGTGTGTTTATCCAAGTTGGCTCCCCTTGGCTGGCCTTGAAGGCCATCTTATCAGAATTCACCTGGAGAACATGTGATCTGACGCTCACCACCCCCTCCCTGAGGAATTTCCAACTGATAACCAGATGGAACCTGCTGAATAAACCTGTGTCATCATTTCAGGACTCTTGGATTCTCACAGACGTTATTCTTGGCCATTCCTTGACATACCTCGAGAATGTTTATGGATCTCACCGGAGGACATTGACCGATTATTCCATCCTTATCAGAACTCTTACAGTGACCTCGAGAGCATCTATGATCATTGCTGACCGCTCTCGGCTCCCCCCTCTGCAGAATGTCTACGTCACTATGTGCTTGTTTGTGCGAGGTGTTTTTTTAATATTAGAGGGTTTTTTCCCTCAGGCAGGAAAAAAAAAAGTCTGATAGGAATTTTTTCGCCTCCAACATGTGTCCATTTTACCACTGTTTTTGTCTGTCCAAACAGGTCTCACTTGTAAATGAGTCTTTTAGGCTCAATGTGATTTATCTGTTTAAATAAAGGTTGAATGAAAAGTGTTAGTATTATTATCCACCTGACAAGGGATTTGCTATTCTAACAACTATAAAGTGGTCCGAACTGCAATATGTCCCCACAACTTTTAGATTAAAACAACCGGCTCGGCACCATGATGTGTTCTATTACTTTTATTGTTATATCAAGTTACCATGGTGACATAATTTGTAAACAAAGATGCCATTTTTCTTATTGAAGAACATTAACACTCTTCACAGCCTATAACTGCCACAGTGAGGTCACATGACCTTGAGTGGAGAGGTCTCTGAACAAAACACTGATTAATGTTTGGAGCCATTTTGGTTCAAGATGGCTGCCACAGCCACCTCAGAAAACAAAAAATTGACTATAACTCGGTCATTCTTAGAGATATTGAAATGTAGTAAGGTCATAGCTGACAGTGAGTTATTACACATTCCTGATGCAAATTAATAATCCAAGATGGGCACCTTTGCTAAAAGGGAAAAAATATGATAACTCAGCTATTTTAAAAGATATTGAGCTGAAATTTGGTGTGGTGGGAGCTGACAGCGATGCTCAACACATTCTAAAATCAAATCTAAAAATGCTGTCAAATTTAAAATGGCCGCAATGTGGCAGTTCTCATCAAAGTTTCTCCAGGAACTTTCCTGTTCTATAGCTTTACTTTGAAACCTTAACTTATCTCCTGTTTCATACCAAAAGAAACACAGTAACACTTTTATTTGCTGTTTCTTAGTTTCAAATATGTTTTCAAATGTAATGTATTTTCAAATGTAAATATATGTTTTGATTATCCGAGTTTAAAATGGCTTATTGGACATTTTTCCTCTACATTTAACCATCACAAGTTTCAGTTACTAATGTTTATAGGAAATTGTAGATACTTTGCTGCGTTTCAGTGTTTAGTTTCCTAACTTTTAATTTGCAGGGTAAGCATTTTACTTTGAGGTGAGGTTCATCAGGAACCTCTGAGTTAGAAATCTGATATCAGAAGATGTTTCTATTGAGTTTTCTAAGAACTCTAACTTTTGACTTCAAAGAACAAATGAATTGCATCATGTGATCAAGTAGATAATTAGTTGTTGTGGGTACATATCTACTAACAAACTAGAAACAAGTTACTGATTCTCACAAGAACACTCATACCTGCTGCCAACATTCACATCATTTTTTATTTCAAAGTTATGCTGTGTGGGTTTTCTCCAGGTGCTCTGGTTTCCTCCCACAGGCCAGAAACATGCATGTTAGACTGATGGTAACTCTGAATTGTCCCTAAGTGTGAGACAGAGTGAATGGTTGTTTGTCTCTATGTGTCCCTGTGATGGACTGGAGACCTGTCCCGGGTGTCCCCCGCGCCTCACACAGTGATTGCTGGACATGGGCACCGGAGACCCCCGTGACCCAAAATGGAAGAATCGGGTAAAAGATAATGGATGGATGGATGGATGGAAGTTGTTTAACTTCCATAATTCCATTCAAAAAGTTAATCTTTAATAGATGATAGATTCAGGGCCCACAGTTTAAACTATTTCAAGTATTTATTTGTTTATTTTTACATAATTGGGTCTTCCAGCTCATGAAACCCACAAAAACAGGATTTCAAACAATTAGAAAACTGTGGAGACATCAGTCCAAATGTTGCAGGGCATGAATGTTTTAAACTGAGTGACACTAATCATCTACTAAACTCAAAGCACCTGCACAGGTTTCCCCAGGTGTCATTAAATTGATTCAGTTTGGTTCAATTGTCTCAGTTCGGTTCAATATGGGGAAGACTGCAGACATAACAACTGACCAGAAGACCATCACTGATGTCCTCCATAGGATGGGTAAGACACAAAAGTTCATAGCTAAGGAGGCTGGCTGTTCATAGAGCGCTGTGTCCAAGCATATCAATGGAAAGTCTAGTGGAAGGACAACATGTGGCAGGAGAAGATCCACCAGAAAAAGAGATGACCGTGGGCTTCAGTGGATTATCAAACAGAGAAGATCCAGAATCTGTCAGAGATCCAGAAAGAGTGGAATGAGGCGGAGTCACAGCTTCAAAAACCACAACATTCAGACTCATCCAGGAGTTGGACTACAACTATTGTTGGCTGTGGCTCAGTGGTTAGAGCAGTCGTCCTCCAATGCAAAAGTTGGGGGTTCGAATCCACCAGCAGTCACATGCCAAAGTGTCCCTGGGCAAGACAATGAAACCCCTCAATGCCTCTGATGTGTGTCCCATCAGTGTATGAATGTGATCTAAAGCTCTGATTAGTCTAAAAAAGTTAAATCTGGTCCTCTGGACATTCAAAAAAAAAAAAAAAAAAAGCAAAACAACAAAAAAATGTAGAAACGTTTCGTCTTTCATCCGAGAGACTTCCTCAGTCTGAGGTGCTGTTTTCAGCTCAGTCTCTTAAATAGCACCTTCTCAGAGTGGATCAACCAGTTTGCTGCTGACAACCAAAACCAGCTGATCACATGCTCAAGAAGGACCATCAGCCTAACAATGGATCATTAGCACCTGATGGCTGTTTACTACTCACAGAGGGCTGAGTGATACTAGCAATCACAGCATTGTAAGAGGGGGACAGTTGAACCTGGAGGCTCCGCCCCTGTTTAATGATGGACGATATCTTTTCACAAAGATGGCCTCCTTTACTCCTCTCTCAAACCATTGTTCCTCTCTGTCCAGGATGTGAACATCTTCATCCCTGAAAGAGTGACCGCTGGCCTGGAGATGAGTGTAGACCGCAGAGTCCTGGCCTGATGATGTTGATCTTCTGTGCTGGTCCATCCTTTTGGCCAGTGCCTGTTTAGTTTCCCCGATGTAAGACTGATCACCCTCCTGACACTGAACAACATACACAATATTACTCTGTTTGTGCCGGGGGACTGGATCTTTGGGATGAACCAGTCTTTAATGTATTTTGGGGTTTAAAAGCCACTGGGACGTTATGTTTAGAAAATAAACGTCTCAGTTTCTCTGATACTCCCTCAACACACGGAATGACCACTGGTCTGGGTCTGGGTTCCTCCTTTTCACCTGATGGCTGACTGGAGTCCTGTTTGGGTTTCTTCTCTGCTTTCAGGAAGGCCCAGTTAGGATATCCG